TTCTTGACTTGTCAGCGGGGGGGAGGGGAAAGAGTAAAAAATAAAACTACAAAAAAAAGAAGGCAAGTGCAGCGAATTTCGATTGCACTTTCCCGTAGCGCCGCTCTCAAAAAACAAAAAAAAGGTGCCGACTGCAATTAATCAAAATTTAATTTCAAAAAGTGACGCTGACGCTGATGTTCAAGCTGAAGCCAATATACAAAAAAAAAAAATTGAAAAGCGGCCAAAGTGAAAACCGGCAAAAGGAAAATGTAATTAATCACTAGACGGTTTGGGAAAAAGACGTCGAGAAAAATGAAAAGCCAGCCAGCCACAAAGCAGGCAACCGCCGCAGAACAAAGAAGGCGTCAAAACTCGACCATCGGGTTTTTTGTTTTCGCCTTCGGTTCCTACTATCCCCACGGAGGCGCCCCCCTACGCCCCCCACCGCTGGGGACCCCCCTCCAGTGTTAACCAGAAACCCGCTACAATTTATAGCACCTCTTTCTGGTAAGAAAAATGATATTGTTTCCATTATAATGGAACCCGACCAAACTGAATTGAGCCATCGGAGAGTCACTCAATAAATTGGCTTAATCAGCTGCGATTTGATAATGTTGTATATATTAATTCTCTTGCAGTGGCTATTATAATTTAAACACCATAGAGTTTATATATTCTTGATCAGCATCACGGCCGACATCGGTTGAGATCCCTTAGTAGGTAGCCCATATAACTGGACCGTGGCATATATCATAAGATAACAGGTCCGACTTGTCCGACTATAACCTATAGACACAACTATCGTGATTCTGCTAATAATGGCTTGGTTCTTTTTTTTTAATTTTCTATTATATCGCTAAGGATATGGGCAGTGGCGGATTTAAGGAAAAAGGCCCATTGGGCAAAATTTTTTCAGGGTACATTGAAGGGTATTTTGAAGGGTACAGCCCAGAAAATTTGACAAAAAATCTTAAAAATATTCTGTTCCCAGATTTTGATGCAGATTTATGGAGAATCGATCCACAAATCGTTTAAAGTATTCCGCTCAAGAATCGGATGAATATTTCCTAAGATATGGCCTACGCAGTGGGTCATATGGGGCTCCCCATGCATTTTGCACATTTTGCAGGGGACAGCCCCGAAAATTTGACAAAAAATCTTAAAAATATTTTGTTCCCATATTTTGATGCAGATTTATGGAGAATCGATCCACAAATCGTTTAAGGTATTCCGCTCAAGAATCGGATGAATATTTCCTAAGAAATGGCCTACGCAGTGGGTCATATGGGGCTTCCATGCATGTTGCACATTTTGAAGGGCACAGCCCAGAAAATTTGACAAAAAATCTTAAAAATATTCTGTTCCCAGATTTTTATGCAGATTTATGGAGAATCGATCCACAAATCGTTTAAAGTATTCCGCTCAAGAATCGGATGAATATTTCCTAAGATATGGCCTACGCAGTGGGTCATATGGGGCTCCCCATGCATTTTGCACATTTTGCAGGGGACAGCCCCGAAAATTTGACAAAAAATCTTAAAAATATTTTGTTCCCAGATTTTGATGCAGATTTATGGAGAATCGATCCACAAATCGTTTAAGGTATTCCGCTCAAGAATCGGATGAATATTTCCTAAGATATGGCCTACGCAGTGGGTCATATGGGGCTTCCATGCATGTTGCACATTTTGAAGGGCACAGCCCAGAAAATTTGACAAAAAATCTTAAAAATATTCTGTTCCCAGATTTTGATGCAGATTTATGGAGAATTGATCCACAAATCGTTTAAAGTATTCCGCTCAAGAATCGGATGAATATTTCCTAAGATATGGCCTTCGCAGTGGGTCATATGGGGCTCCCCATGCATTTTGCACATTTTGAAGGGCACAGCCCAGAAAATTTGACAAAAAATCTTAAAAGTATTTTGTTTCCAGATTTTGATGCAGATTTATGAAGAATCGATCCACAAATCGTTTAAGGTATTCCGTTCAAGAATCGGATGAATATTTCCTAAGATATGGCCTTCGCAGTGGGTCATATGGGACTCCCCATGCATTTTGCACATTTTGAAGGGCACAGCCCAAAAAATTTGACAAAAAATCTTAAAAGTATTTTGTTTCCAGATTTTGATGCAGATTTATGGAGAATCGATCCACAAATCGTTTAAAGTATTCCGCTCAAGAATCGGATGAATATTTCCTAAGATATGGCCTTCGCAGTGGGTCATATGGGGCTCCCCATGCATTTTGCACATTTTGAAGGGCACAGCCCAAAAAATTTGACAAAAAATCTTAAAAGTATTTTGTTTCCAGATTTTGATGCAGATTTATGGAGAATCGATCCACAAATCGTTTAAAGTATTCCGCTCAAGAATCGGATGAATATTTCCTAAGATATGGCCTTCGCAGTGGGTCATATGGGGCTCCCCATGCATTTTGCACATTTTGAAGGGCACAGCCCAAAAAATTTGACAAATAATCTTAAAAATATTTTGTTCCCAGATTTTGATGCAGATTTATGGAGAATCGATCCACAAATCGTTTAAGGTATTCCGTTCAAGAATCGGATGAATATTTCCTAAGATATGGCCTACGCAGTGGGTTATATGGGGCCCCCCAAGCATTTTGCACATTTTGAAGGGGACAGCCCAGAAAATTTGACAAAAAACCTTAAAAATATTTTGTTCCCAGATTTTGATGCAGATTTATGGAGAATCAATCCACAAATCGTTTAAGGTATTCCGGGGGGCCCAGTGGGCAAGCGCGCCGTTGCTATTATGTTAATTTTAAAACAAACTTTAACTGCGTGGTTATTGTGGGAGTTTCCATGCCAAATCCTATAGCTCTATCTCTTATTGTCTCTAAGATCCTTGCCTTGGCTATGGCCATGCGTCTTGGATATATCGACTCGGCTGTTAAGGCTGATCAAGAATATATATACTTTATGGAGTCAGAGATGATGCCTTCTCTACGCTACCCTTGTACTCTACGAGTACCAGGTATAAAAATAATTTAAATTAATAAAAAAAAATTAAAAATGCTTAAAAAATAATAATAATATAATATAATACCTATAATACCAAATATTCAATTATATCATAATTATTTTATAAAATTATTTTTAAGGATCATTTGAGTGTGCTGTCGCCATCTATGTTTTAGTTTTCAGCGAAAGAGCAGACTACCAAAAGCGACACCTAGGAGACAAGTATAAATGCAGAACAAGGATAATGACATGTAAAATACTGTAACCTTACAACATGTAACTTTGTAAAATAAGGTAAAAGTGTACTTCTTTTGAAATTTAGTCCTTAAAAATAAATTAAAATAAAATAATAAAAAACCAAGAAAGGAAAGCTACCTTCGGGCGGAGCCGAAATTGATATACTCTTGCAGTTAACACTGAATATACATATATCACAAAAATGGGATATAGATGGCCGATCATTATGAGAATAACAATATATAACGAATTAATAAAAAAAAGTTCCAAGATTCTATCTTCCAAAATGCCAAAGTTTTAAAAATTTTATCTCCCTTGTAAAGATTACATAAAATGGTATACACATAAAATAAGTGATCAAAAATCACTTATTGATCGAGAATGACAGTACTAGAGGATCTGAGATAGGGAAGGTACAATACTTTTGTGAGTTACAAGCTCCATATTTCTTTGCTCTTGAGGGATCCCCCCAAATGATCTAAAAAGACTTGTAAAGGGTATTCCTTGAAATAAAGCCCCCATCCTTGAATAAAAATACCAGCCATGCCAAAATTTCATGTTTAATTTTTATTATTAAAAATTTTCTTTATATTGCCTTTGTTTTTTTTTCTGTTCGTTTTTTCTCCTCTTTATCGTTTGCTGTGACTTCTCCTCGTTCGTCCCTTTGCCCACTTTCCACTTAGCTTTTTTGTTTCTTAATTTTCTTTTTATTGTTTTTCTTTTCTATCGTCAATTGTTTATTATATTTTTCATAGACAAATATTGTTTGTTTAATGTTTCGTTTCGTCTCGCCCTCCAGCCTGAAAGGAGGAGGTCCAGGAGGCTAAAGGAGGTTCAGGAGGATTAGGATTCGGATCCGGAGCGGAATCCAATTTGGCTTGGATTGGAGGGGTTCTTCGCTTACATCGTATACGTTATTTTACATAATTAAATAAATACATCAAATAAAAAAACAAAGTCAAATCAAGCGTAAATCATAAATCATAAAAATCATAAATCATTCAATGTTGAGCTTAAAACAATAATAACAAAGCCAAACAAAAATTAGTTAACAATTGGAAATAAATCTATAAATTACAATTATTGATTGTTGGTTTCTGTGTTCATCGTTCATCGTTCTCTTCTTATTCTGTTATTGCTTCCTTTTCTCTCAGTGTATTTTACTTATTGTGTATTTGTGTGTTTTAAATTTTATTATGCTTGGTTGTGTGTCCTTGGCGATTGGAATTGGAGTTAATTAATTGATTTAAATCACAAAACAAATTAAGGACCCTTTGGGGCACGACGTTTTGAGCAGAAAATTGGCGGAAACCAGATCAAGGAGATCGGATCGCGGTTCCTGATGGTCGTGTGGCGGTGTGGTTGTACATAAAATAACCCCAACTATATAGTGCGTGCACATTAATCTATCAAATATCAAATTGCAGCATCAATCAACAGTCGACACCTTACATAAATCACAGCTAAAAGGCAAGCATAAAATTAATTAATTGGTTTACAAAAACACACATTTCGTCTATCTCTTTCTATCTCTCTCGTTGTGTATATATCCTTCTCCTTCTGGTTCGTGCCCAAAGGGGTTAAGGGTTTCAAGGTTTCAATTGGGTGGTTTGGGATAATTGGCTCTCAAACATATTTATGTACAATTTCTATTATTTCATTTCTTGTTTTTTTGTTTTTGTTACTTGACTACGCATAATTAATTATTTTCTTTTTTTTTTAATAATAATTGTATTTCATTTTCTTCGTCGTGTATTTTTTTGTGTGTGTGTGTGTTTTGTTGTTTTTCGCATTCGTTTCGTTAAATAGTTATTATTTATAGTATAGCACCGAGTACAAAAAAATGATCAATGAACAGAGTTTTGAATTTTCTTGCCTTGCCCTACGTTTTATCTCTTAATGTTCTTGTTTCGTTAAATTCTACTACTTATTTAAGGTAATAATTTCTGTTGCTTTCGTTTACGTTTTTGTTGTCACAAGCGATTCGTTCGTTATCCCTTTGCTTTCCTTCCTTACATCGTTCCATCGCCAGAGATCTGAAATTGGGGATTCAAAATTATTCACTTTATAATGAAAATAATGAAAATATTATATTTATGATGAAAATATAATTGTTTAAGTGGGGCAAGTAGCTTCAGAGAGTGACGAGTGGCGAGTTCTTACTAGTTATTAGTCTTACTCGTCTCTGTTTTCCAGCGAGTCACGCCGTACTCTACCCAGCAGCGCCACTCGCTATATTCATAATTCATTCTTAATCCGCTCTTTCTTTTAGCGAAATAAAGCTAAATAAAGGACCTGCTCAGAATAGCAGTGCCTATAGTTAAGATAGTCTAGACTCTAGAACTCTTCTCGGCCATCAATCAATCTTTTTACTCGTCACTTCCTCCCAGCGAGTAAGCCGTACACTACACAGCAGCGCCACTCGTCCGATTAAGAAACATACCTGCGAATGGGAACTGTCGCTCTCCACCTGCTCGGAATAGCAGTGCTTATAGTTAAGATAGTCTAGAAGTCTTCTCGGTAATGGCAATGTCTGTATTAGATCCTTTCGTATAACCGCCTTTAGTATAACAAATCTGAAAGTAGTAGGCCACAAAAATATTTAAAATGTTGAACCAACAAAAATGAGTGCAAAACTAATAATGGCTCTGCTTCGAGCCTGGGTCCGGATGCGCTGCCCTGCCGTTCGACTACCCCGGCCGGAACCCAAACGGGATCGGGTGCCCTACAGCCGGAAACGGAAGGCGAAACTACAGCGCCGGAAGCAACGGGGTCTCGCCACGCAATTGGAGGAGGAGCAGGCCCAGAAAAAGACCCAAGAGTAGACCGAGCACTTACCTGCACATGTGCTGCAAGCTTTGTACATGCTTAAATCTAGATACTGGATTGGTTAGCTGGACCCGCATTGGTCCGTGCTCCGGCCGGCGATGCAGGAAGAAAAGATACCTGGAATAGAATCGGACGGATAACGATGTTAGGTTAGGTTCCAGGGCATGGGTTTCTTTCTGTCTCACCTGCCGCTGCGCGAATGCTCCACTGCCTTTTCGATGAACTCGGTGATGGTCTGCGACTTGAACTTGGCATACGAACCGAAGGAGAATGTGCCTGAAAAACAAGAAATCTCTCATTATAATGGCTTTCTATACAAATAATACTATGGGCATTTATTTCCAATGGGCAGTGGGCTGTGGGGGATAGTATCATTGGATGCTAAGGTCCAACTCACCCTGATCCTGCTCGATGCGAACGTGGCGCACACAGTTGTTGAGTTTAAAGCTCAGCGAGAAGATGTAGTGATCGTCGGAGCTGTCGCGCACAATAAAGGATCCATCCGGCTCGCTGGAGAGGACCTTTTCGGCGGCCTCGCTGGACAAAGGACCCCAGTACCAGCCGTACTACATCATGGAAGGATATAGGATAGGATTTAATAAGAGGAATAATCACCATCGGGCTTGCGATACTTACGTCCTTGACCTTCTCAATACTGGATGTAAATTGCAGTGCCCGCGGCTCCTGGGCCACGTTCTTCTTCAGCTCCTCCGGCTCCGGATCAACAGATTCAATGGCATAGGCTGCAGCTACAAAAGGGGTTTAAAGTTAACTTTGGATTTCTCTCAACTCTAATTCCCAGAAGCCTTACCCTTCTTTGGTAGTGGTGGCAGGGCACGGGACTGAAACTTTTTGCGCAGATCGGCATTCGTTTCGTCGGCCTCCGCCGTGATCAGAACTCCTCCTCCAGCTCCCCCGATTCCGCCAGCCCCGGCTGCACATCCCGCTCCTCCAGCATCCTTCAGTTCCGCGATCAGTTGTCCAGGTTGTCCGCCGGCAATACCGGGTGCCGTGGTAATGACCGCTGTGGAGGCCACTGTGGGTATCAGCGGGACATTGGCCGATCCACTGTTGGCCCCGCCATTGGCACTGCCCAGCGTCCCGGCCCGGTTGGCCACCGAGTTGCGGCAGCGACTGTGGTTGCTCCGACGGAAACGGAAGATGCTGCAGAAACGCTGCTTGAGGTTCAGCGTGAACTGGGACTTTTTCTCCGTGTGCAGGACGTGCTTGTTGTTGGTCAGGTGGTGGTGGTGATGGTGGTGCTGCTCCGTGGGTGGCTTCTCCTGCAGTGGCTGCTGCTGTTGCTGCTGCGATTGCTGCTGCGACTGCTGAAGATTGTTGTTGTTGTTATTGTTGTTGTTTAGCTTGTCGTTGTCCAGGTTGTGCTTGTTCTGCTTGCTGAGATACTTGTTGCCACTGGAACCGCCATCACTGCTGGCCCCTCCAGCTCCGCCACCCCCGACACCAGGCCCACCGCCGCCACCGCCGCCGCCGCCAGCTCCACTCGATGCCCGGGTTATGGCCACACTGCTGCGCGTCCGGGCCGTTGTGGTGGTGGTGTTGGTGGACACACTCCAAATGGTCTCGTTGCTCGACTTCACCATCGGCTTGTGGCCGGTCTTGCCGCCCGCATCCGAGTACAGGGTGTGATAGAACTGCTTCACCTCGTCCAGGGTCATGTGCAGCGGTTCCGACGGCTCACCCACATGGCCCACTGGAGTGCGGTACTTGCCGCCGCCACCATGCGACTTGCCACCACCCTTCTCCGGCTCCCCGTCACTCGTCTCCGTGCCGGCGCTAGTGCCGGAGCCACCGTAGCGCTGCTTGCGTTTGTTCCGCTTGTTCCTCCGGCTCGCCTTGTGGTACGTGGAGCCCGAGCTCTTCTGCTGTTGCTTCTGCTTCTGCTGCTCCTGCTCCAGCTGCTGTTGCTGCTGATGCTGCTGCTCGATCATGTCCACGGGGAAGGCGTAGATGTCCGAGTCGATGGGCACATTGTAGAAGTCCGAGATCTCGCGCGTGAAGAGCGCGTCGTGCGACATGGCCTGGGTGATGAATATGGAGTCGTCCGGCTTGTTGGCCGAGGAGACGTTCAGCGAGTTGTGCGAGCTGCTCAGCCGGCTGTTGAGCGAGTTCCTCGAGTTGGGCCTCTGCCCGTGGCCGTGACTGTAGCCGTAGCCCGGCTGGTGGTGGTGATGGTGATGGTGGTGGTGGTGGTGACTGCCGTGGCTGTGGTTGTGATAGTGACAGTGGCTGGTGTGGCCCAGGGGGCTGTACAGCGAGGCCTGGCGACGTTGCAGGCTGCTGTTGTCCACCGGCTGGCGACGCGCTCCATAGTACAGGTCGTAGTCGTGGATCTCCGACAGGCCGGCGCTGTTGAATCTCTGCTGGGCGGCCGCTGCCTTGGCACTGGCTATGCTGTCCTGTTCCGTGGGGATGGCCTGCAAGAGGGATTCGGACATCGTAGCTACTTTAAGGACAGTAATCCTCGAGGAACTCACCTTGAAATACCGCGTATGATCCTGGTAATAGGGACACAAGGTCTGCTTGATCTTCACAATGGATACTGGGGGCGGCGGCGATGGCAGCGGCGAACAACTGCTGGCCTCCGACTGCTCCTCCTCGAGGATGTCCACGCTGTTGCCCAGGGAGCTGCTGACGATGTTGTTCGGCTCGTCGTATATGTTATCCGTGTGGCTGTTCAGTATGGAGTCGCTGGAGTAGAGATGCTTGTTGATCGCATACGAATCCTTGAGACTCAGCTGCCCCAGGGCCTGGCCATCCAGGGCGTCCAGCTGGGATTCGGCCGTTTTGGCCAGCAGCAGAACCAACTCGGAGTTGGGCGGATGCGGATGCGAATGGGTATGGGAATGGGAATGGGGCTCCTCCGGCAGGGCGGTCACGGTCGCCAGGCCATTCACCATCGTGGCAGCATCGTCCTTGAGGTGCTCGAACGAGGACTGCGAGGAGGTCCAGCGGCGCAGGCTGTTCACAATGTTTTTCGAGATGGAGCGCACCAGGGTGGTCTGCGGCGAGTCCTGGAACTCGGGCGGCGGATCAATCGGCGCCAGGGGACCCTTCTTCAGCGTGTTGAAGTTCTCGGCGCTCATCCCGCCCTCCGAGCAGTTGTCCAGCGAATCGAACTGCGACACCTCGCCGTCGCTCTCCACCATCTGCAGCGAGGAAAGGGGTTATATAGTAGGGGCGATTATTTGGGTCAGAGTTGGGGTCCTACCTCGATTTCGAACTTGCACATGCCGAGGCGATAGGAGTCGCCGCTGGATATGGAGCTGTTGGTGGTCAGCGGTACGCCACTGTCGTCGCTCAGCGAGGCGGCGGCATTCAGCTCGATGCTGTTGGCGCTGACCAGTTCGTGGTGCGGCGGTGGCATGATGCTGAAGCTGTCGCTGCTGCAGATGCTCGAGACACAGACGCCGCCACCGGATACAGATCCGCCACCGCCACCGCCACCGTTCCCGCCGCCGCCACCGACCGATCCGGCACCGACATTGCCGTTGGAATTCGAATTGCAGTTGGAGTTGCTGTCCTTAAGCTTAATGGACGATTCCATTTTCGGGGCGAGAGTGTCAGGTGAGAGGCAACGCCTAAAAAGGATAATAAAAGGTTTTAAAAAAAAAGTACACACATTTTATGAAAACTTCAAGCTCTTCACTTAATTCCACTTTACTTTAATCCTTCGAGTTTCATCGTCTTTCTGATTTAGAATCCCTTCATTTTTAGATTTGAATTAAAATTTTGGATTGGAATTGAATTTTGATTAATTGGATGACACACATCCCAACCTATGACCTTTGGGTGCGGCGGCTGCAGCTTGCAACGAATGCAATTGAAGGTCAATGACAGTTGCGTGCGCCGTTTTTCGTCCTGTCCGCCCACAGCCGCCCACCTACTCCTGCCACCTGCAACACCCCAGCACGTACCGACACCTCACCCACCGCCCATCACTGGCCCGCCCCCCCGGTGGCACCTACGCTTGTGCTTGTGCGCAGAAATTGAAGCCAAAAGGCAGACGAGATTTTCTTTTGCTTTTTGATTTTCTTCTTCTTTTATTTATAAAGCTAATTATAGTATTTAAAACATAAAAAATATATATTTTTTTTAAGAGAAAACTAATTCATATTTAAGTTTTAATTTTTTTTTTTGGTTGGAAAGCCTGGATAGTACCGCTAGTACACACATACACGCCCACTAGGCGGAGAATCAAACCGAAAGGAGTAGCCGGAAAAGCAACGCTGTACCACCCACCGCCCACTGACCCTCCACCGCCCGCCTCCACAAACGTCATGCGTCGTCGTTTTCGTAGTACGACGTTTGCTAGTATTTTTTTTTTTTACTGATAGCGCACTTTACATGGCCAAGAAGAGAGTGCCAGAACGAGAGAGGCTGAGCCGAAGAGAGAGGGACTAGAGGGCAGACAACCGGGGGGGGCGGGGTAGGGCGGCACGTCGGCAGAAGAAAGAATGAGCAAGCGAGAGGGGCGATGGCGCTATAGTGCAGCAGCGATAACACAGAGATTCCTTTTCGGATTCTTGTCCCCCAGCCATGGCCGAAAAGTCTGATTCGAATTCTGTGACTCGTCCGTGGCAGGGATTCTTATTAGAATTCTGTCCCTCTGTATATACACAACTCGAGCACACACACACACCACAGCTAGGGAGAGGATGCAGGCAGAAAGAGAGCCACGACACCTACGCACCCACTCACACACTCGTGGGCACGTAACACCTTTGCTTAATTTAATTATGCTCTCCTGACTCTCGCGGACACACACACTACACTACACTCACATACACATACACTCGCAATGGAACGCACACACCAAACACGAGTGCATTACAATTATTATTTTTTTTTTTTTTGCGAACTGCACTTGCCTGCTACCTCTTTATCTTTTCCTTCCGTTTCCGAGATACTTGAGATTGTTTACTCCTTGCTTTTTTTTGACCAGCACATATTGCAGTTCGACTGCATTTTCGACATAAAATTCAGTTTTAGCATTTCAGCATAATTCCCGATTCCGATTCCCGTCCAAAACCCGACCAGTGTGGCCGGGCGCTTTAACAACCTTTCAGTTTGTCTTACTGAGATTTTTTAAAGTTTAGCAGCACTGGTTTTCAGGGCTTCGCAACACTGATTTAACTGCAACGGTTGGAACGGAGTGGTAATGCAGAATATCGAAATTAGCAAGGACATTAATGGGATTTAATCTCTGAATTGACGCCTGGAGTGTGATAAACTGCCACTCAGAATTCCTTAATAAATTTATAGTTATTCAAGCCTTAAGAACAATCAATTAATGTACATGATTTAAGCTACCATAATTTTATGTGCTAATATTTATCAATAAATAATTTAAACTTTGATTATATTAAATTATGACGAATTTTTGTTTATAATAATAATATATGATATTCGTTTTTTTTTTCAACACTTAACAGAAACAAAGAAAGTTGGCAGCGCTTTGCATCAGCTGGCACTTTGATTAGTGATGGCACTTTCGATAAAAACATTAACGTGTGGCAAAGACACTAGCCGAGGGTTTTATTTTGTTCAGCAAATATAAGCCCGAGAACATGGCCCAATTTGAGAAAGAAATAGTGCAGGCAATTCTGATAGCCGACAACAACGTGTGGAACTTCAAGCCGCTCTCGGACGAGGGCTCCACGGTGGGTAGACCTCAAGAGTAGCTCTCTTCTGTTAGCTTCAACTTTCCCGGTTTCTCGACAGGCACTGCTCCCGCTGGTCAACGTAAAGATGCTGGACTATGCTCTGATCGCCCTGAATCGTAGTGGGGTGGAGGAGGTCTTCGTGTATGCCAGCCTCTACCTGCAAGACATTCGGGACCACATCAAGTAGGATCTCTGGGAACTCTGGAGAGGATGATGCAATTCAAAGCTTATGTTATGATTTCATTTTACAGGGCCGGCATTGCCACGTACGCCTCCTGGTCCTTCAAGATGACCGTCCATGTGATCGGCGGGGAGGGGTGTCGCTGCTTCGGCGATGCCATGCGCGATTTGGACGCCAAGGCACTCATTCGGGGCAACTTCATACTGCTGGGCGCTGACACGGTTACCAATGCCGATCTGCGCCCAGTCCTGGAGCAGCACAAGCGACAGGCCAAGTTCGACAAGGGCACGGCCGCCACTCTGGTCTTCAAGGAGTGCTCCAACAACGTCCGCATCGGCAACGAGGTCCTGATCGCCGTGGACAAGCGCAACGACCGCCTGCACTACCACCAGCGCCTAAAGACTCACCAGAAGGAGTCGCGCTACCAGATCCCCCTGGACGTCTTTCTGGGCAACTCGTGCGTGGCCCTGCACCATAACCTTCTGGATCCCCAAATCGCCATCGGTTCCCCGTCCATGCTGTCCCTGTTTAGCGACAACTTTGACTTCCAGACGCGCGACGACTTTGTGCGCGGGCTGCTGATTAACGAGGAGCTGCTGGACAGCAGGATATACGTAGCGCTGCTGCCGGACGCCCAATACGCCCACCGGGTCAACAGCTGGCCGGCCTATCAGCTCGTGTCGCGGGACATCATCAATCGCTGGGCGTATCCCCTGGTGCCCGACATGGGAGTCTACAAGCTGCAGCAGCAGTACGTCTTCCACAAGGACAACATCTACAAAAGCCACGAGGCCTTCGTTTCGAAGGTGTCGCTACAGGAGAACGTGGTCATCCAGGCCGGAAGCCACGTGGAGGCGGGAACCGTGATCAGCGACAGTGTGATCGGAGGCAACTGCCGGATTGGAAAGAACTGCCGCCTGAACAACGTCTTCCTGATGGCCGATGTCACGGTCAAGGAGAACTGTCGCCTGGAGCACTGCGTTGTGGGTGCGGGCGCCATCGTGAACGAAGACTGCGAGGTGAGTGGAGGCTGTGTCCTGGGCGACAAGAGCGAGCTGCCCGCCAAGACGAAGATAACCGCATCCCTGATAACCAGCACTCCCAGCACTCAGAAAGTCGACGAGCTTGAGGGTGACGAGGGTGAGTATTCCACGGTCTAAGTCCATGGACTCCCATCCTATAGCTTTGCCTCTTTCCAGTGGAACTGGAGTCCCTGGGACCGAAGGCCTTTATCGTCAACGATCTGTCGACTGGAGATCCCGAGGAGTCCGACGGTGATGACTTCCTGCCGCAGACAATGCTGACTATTCCCAAAATGGGCGACCGACTGGCGGGTCTGGACGAGATCAGCTACTGCAGCGACCTGAGCGATGACGATGATGATGCCTCGCGTGCCGTGACGCCCCTGGCCGATGACACCAATAGTAAGTGACTGAGGATTACCCTCTGGTTCCCGTTAAAACCCACTCCATTTACAGTTTTCCTGGGCGAAGTGATCGATTCGTTGACCCGCGGCTTCCGGGAGAAGTCGAATCCGGACTTCCTGATTCTCGAAATCAACTCCTCGCGCTATGCCTACAACATGTCCCTCAAGGAGGTCAACTTCAACGTGGTGAAGGCCATCTTCGGCATGCAGACTATAGTGGAGCCGGCCAACGATAATGTCCTGGTGGCCATCAACGCCGCCTTCAAGCAGCTGGGCCCCGTGGTGTCCAACTACATCAAGAGCGAGGACGCCATGCTGGACTGCCTCAAGGCCCTGGAGGTGATAACCTCACCATTCTTAATAGTCCCTTTGTAATGTATCTTTCCCTTCCAGGATGTATGCGAGGAGAATCCTCTAGTGCGAGAGAAGATCTCTCAGGTTGTTCACTACCTCTACGACAAGGACTTTGTCTCGGAGGACGCCATCCAGGCCTGGTACGGTCAGCTGGACGAGGAGGAGCACGGCCAGCTGCGCCAGAGCCTGGCCAAGCTGGTCGAGTGGCTGGACCAGTCCAGCGAAGAGGAGGACGACGACGACGACGAGGATGAGGATGAGGATTAGGCCAAGCCTGAGGACTTTTGATACAAATACTTTTCCGAGGATAATTAATAAAAAAAAGGGAAACTCAAACATGTCTGCCATAAGGCCATTTTACAGGCCCTGTTACAGGAGGATATATCCAGAGGTGCTTCTTGGTGCTCCCACAATCTTCTTCCATTAAAGCTATATTAGTGTCAGTACCTTTGATATCTGCACTGCTTATTCCATCGATAATTATAGTTCGGATGTTAAAGAGGAGGTAGTATCTGGTATCAATAATGAACAAAGGAATATTCCAAAATACTCTGTCAAAGGGTATTCTTGTTTTGCTTTAAGGAATGTTTCCTATTTATGTGTGTAGATAAATATCGGGGGGTATTATATGTTAATATTAGTCTGAAATACGCAACGCAGTGAAGAAGACATCTTATACCAACTATATCCGATATTTGCGATATATGTACATATATCAGACCTGTACTGCAAGGATATGTAAATCAAATTCGCCTCCACCCTAGACCAAGCTAGACCATAGGCCTAGGCCATCGACCCCATTAAGTATATATATTCATATATATTCTATTCTACAGATCTCAAAGACTATAAGAGATAGAACTATCCGATCCCGCCCCAAAAATATAAATCTTTTTTCAGCGGCAGTTCGTTAATGTTTGTGGAGAATGTTTTGATGCCAAACTGTTCCAATGGCTAGCCTACACCTACAAAAGCAGCCAAATCGGATAATGAGGAGTTATAGACATCCCTACTGAATCGGTAGTATGACCGTAGGTTTCTTGTTGTTGTTTTGCCCAAGCGCAAAAGTATGCAACAAAAATTTGTTGCTGAGAATCCATTCCTTTGGAGTTTAAGCTTTTAAGATGATTTAAATTGTGGCTGGAGGAGATGAGTACCGGGTATAATATAGTCGGGAAACTCGATTACATATAGCCGTCCACTCCTGTTTTTTTTTTTTAATTTTTTTGGTATAAAAGTATAAAATTGGACACAATAATTGACGTTCATCGGGCAGCTACCATGTTATGGAAAATTTCAAGACTGAAAACACACGCTTTTTCGAAATGTCTTGAAATGAATTGGAAAATGGATTTGAAAAACATATTTGTTATATATATTGTTGGTTGTGGTTGTGGTTGTGGTCTCTGTGGTTAGTTCTTGGAATAGATCTCTATCTCTAGATCTACCCGTATATAGATCTGGAATCTGGATACTGGAATCATGGATTGTAATATTAATTAATGTTTAATAAATATGTATCTGTGTCCACAAAATATCACTATCAGTAAAAGCATTCATTTTTTATGTCAAAATTTGCAAAAAAGTTTCAATGCCATAATCATACTGAGCCCCGATTCCGCCTCCCTCAAAAGATAAGGAGAATGTCTAAATTGAATATTAAAGAACTTCTTCATTAATGCCTATTAGCTTCCGCGAAATCTGAGTCTTTTATTTGCAACTACGATACATCTCTTGATTTAGGAATTATAAACAGTTCCCTAGAACCGAATTAGTGTTAAGTGTTCTTTGGTGTATTCACTTTTTGGGTATATATAAGACCGAAAATCGTACATTTCGAAAAGAATAGCGGATCTTCTCTCGTCAGGGAAGCACCAGTCAGCTCCTCGCCATTAATCCTTCTTGATCAATCATGGGAAAGGATCCTTCTGCCGTCGTTTTGGTAATGGCACTTGCATTTTGTGCCTTTTGTCCTTTCTTTGCCAGGTGCAATGAGATCGAGCTTGATATCAAAAAGGCATAGAAAGTTTGTCGAACGTCCTGGTGAAATATCAAGCCGAGTTCGACAAGAAGGTGAAGTTTGCGGAGCTGCAGGATGCCATCGATGAGATTGATAAAGCCATGCTGGGATACTTGGGCAAAGCCAAGGACAAGCTGCTTCAGATTCGCCCTTTGAACTCCCAAGCCCGTCTCAGCTACCAAAACTGTGTGGGCCCAGTCTTCGAGTGGTGCATTTCCTCCACCGACACCTTTGATATCTTCATCGATAAAATTGGCGACAGCAACTTGTCGGATGTGGAGAGGAATATAATCGGGAACCTGACCGTGTCTACTCTGGAATCGGGATTCACAGAAAACGTAAAATCTTGGAAATGTCACAACCATTTCCAAATGAGAATGGCAGAGCTCGAAATTGCGTTTCATGATATTTGGAACTATGTCGACAACGATTTCGGTCCAGGGGCTTCTATGGCGAAGTAAAGGCGGAACTGCAGAAGAGGATCAACGGTTCTTCTCTGGACTTATCAAAAACCATTTCCACGCTTGGTACTACCGAATTATTAAAATCGAACCAAACGGTGCAAACCTACAAGGAGCAAATGGAGTTTATTGAGCATTTATTCACGGACCTGACGCAAAAGATTGGGAAAGCCACCGAAATAGTGAAAGATATGGAGAGGTACCTGGATGAGGAAAAATTCTATCTTCACAGACTCCGAGGACATATTGAAAATGCCAACAATGTACGTTTTTCCCCCAAAAACTCATACTTTTCAATGCTGTTATTTTTATATTTTTCTTTATTTTAGGAAAAATTGTTATTGTTGTCTGACATGGCTCTTCTGCGAGTCACATTTATTCCGGCTATCAACCATCTAAAGGATATTTGCGCCGAGTACGTAAAATGGCTTGGACATGATGCTCCCTTTTATCAGAAGATCAGTTCCAGAACTCGCCGTTCAGCCTCTACATTCTACGAAAGCGAACCATCGCCCGCTTAAATTGCAATTGTTAATTATAAACAATTGTTAATTAATTATATAAGCAATATACAATTGTTAATTATATAAGCAATTAATAAACAATACTGTGAATAAAGGTCCAACAAGTTACTTTCTTAGTACCAACAACTATTACCTTTTATCCATAAGCTGTTTATACCCTTGCAGAGGAGAATGTGGTATATACCCACGCAGTGAAGATTGTGGTAGAGTCTGCCCAGCGTTCTGAGTCTAAGGAAGAGATAAGCTTGTTGAGACCAGGCAGATTGGTTCTACCCTCCAGCCCGCTTTCTCCCTTTGAAGATGAGATGCTGGTAGCTTCGTCTTGGAAAGAGGCCGAATATTCTTCCAAGAGGCCATCCCGTCACTTCGGCTATAGTGCCTGACTTTCATGAGAAGAACCTACACTCTCGCCCTTGGACGCTAACTGCCAAGATCCGTTCCCAATACTGCCCTATTGGGGATGAAGACCGTTCCAAGGATTTTGAACAAATGAACACTTTGATGTAACAGGTGTGGATTTTTTGTTTACCTTGTATCTCAAATATTTGAATGCAGGTACTATGTTTCGGGAAATCAAAAAAAATATACTATTCAGTTGGGAGAGGCCCAGACTAAAAAATCGTACAAAAAACTATCATTTCAAGACTTTAATGAACGTCGAACGTAGGTAGGATGCAGGAAGACTCCAGGTCCCGCGACCAGACAATGGAGCCTAAATTGAAATCGCCAGCTACCATCAAAGCAGAGACAGTAGTGAGGTTTTCCATATGCGCCTGATATATACTAAATGCGCTGTTCGGAGGGATGTATGATGCAATAATGACGAACGGGCCATGGACGCCCTGGATTGAAACGGCAAGCTGATCCAGTTGAGGGTCTGCCACCGGAAGTCGTAGCGGTGCAGCCTGAAAAGATCGACGGATAGCGATGATCACACCACCTCCTCGCACACACTGGGTACTGAGTGCATCTCGGTCTTTTCGAAATTCATAAAACAAGCTGGGCTCAAAGAACTCAGAGGAGCCAAAGTTGTCATTGAGCCACGTTTCCACAAGGATGATTACATCAAAATCGCAGGCAGGAGAATTCAGGAATACCATCTGGGACTTGGTCCTCATTCCCGATATATTTTGAAATAGAACTTTTAAGCTTTTGTTGGGGTCCGAGGACGAGTCTAAACAGTCTAAACTGGTGCTGGTGCATGTGGGGGCATATCCAATACTCATAGCTTGCAATATGGCCGACGAGGACAGATACATAGATCTTTCCATTGGACTCAATAGTAGACCTGCGAGTGTCCAGTGGCAAGGCAAATCCAGTGCCAGGTATAAAAACATAGAGCGTTCATAGTCAGGCACATCCAAACGCAGCAAAGATCCACTCTCACGAAATGTTGCTCCGGAACTCCCAATTTAAAGTTGACGAACTTGAGGGCGTTGATGTCAGCATCTTAGTTGATCAGCCTCGATCAGGGTAGATTTCGCGAATTTACCAATATGAAGGTATTTTAAGGTGGGAAGCACTTGAAGCTGACAGCCGCTTCTTCCTCGGGACAGATCCCTTAGATGCCGTTGGGGCCTGGCCCAGTGCACTATGGGGTTTTTGACCTATTTTTGTGGCATTAATTAATAACTCGGTCAGTTTTGGAGATATCGACATGAAACTTTACCAATCGTTATTATTTGGTCCTAGGCACATATAGTATGAAAATCGTTCGGATCAGGAAACTATATCCTATAGCTCCCATAGGAACGTTTTGGTAAAAGTAAAGATAAATTAATGAAATTTAAGGAGCTGATATTTGTTGCTATTTTAATAGGATATAGCAATTTTGAACCAAATCGGACAACGCTTTCCCTGGGAACTGTCAGTTTAAAATACCGGATTTCAGTGTTCTTCCATACAAATGCATATATAAGTTGAAAAAGAAAAATTCCTTCATACAGTAGTATTAATCTTATTATTCTTTTTTTTCATTTTCTATAATATATCAATATTATCTAAAAATAAAAAGCTGGAATCGTTAAATTCGTCATCTTCGAGACAAACATTATTTCGTATTCGTAAGAAAGCATCTCAATTACCTCAATTGGAAGTAAAAGACTCTTTAGTTTTTTATGCATCTCGATAAATTAAGGACGAAATAATTGGATCTGATGTATCCATCAGATGGAATGTAATCGGTAGTCTTTTCTTGAATGGTGACGCCTGTCTGATTTATACAGCTTGTTTCAGGACTCAGACGCTTCTTCTCCAAAATAGCCGACTGAAAGCACCGTATTTTCCATTACTTCCATTAAAAACTGGTGGCTTTTTTTTTTCAAAACGGCA